GCGAGGGGCGGCCCCCCCAGTGCCCAGCACAGGGGCACGCTCCCTGCCCTGCTCCTGCTGGCCACACCACTCCTGAGACAAGCCAGGATGCTGCTGGCCCTCTTGGCCACCTGGGCACCCTGCTGGCTCCTATCCAGCCCCCTCTCCACCAACCCCCCCAGGTCATTTTCCACCGGGCAGCTTTCCAACTGCTCTGCCCCACGCCTGGAGCATTGGGTGGGGTTGTGGTGACCCCAGGGCAGGACCCGGCCCTTGGCCTTGTTGACCCTCCCCCAACTGGGCTGGGCCCATGGCTCCAGCCTGGCCAGGTCCCCCTGCAGAACCCTCCTCCCCTTCATCAGATCCACACTCCCGCCCAGCTCGGTGCCCTCAATCCCCTCATCTAGGTCATGGATGAAGATGTTAAACAGAGCTGGGCCCAGCACCCACCGCTTGTGCCCAGCTGCCAACTGGATTGACCTCCATTGACCACCACTCTCCAGGCTCGGCCACCCAGCCGGTTTGTTAGCCAGCAAAGAGTGCGCCTGTCTAGGCCATGAGCCGCCATCTTGCGAGGGTTGCCCGTGCCCTGTCCCCCCGGCTTACCCACACCTCCATGTTGTTGTTCACAGTGATAAACGCTTCGCGGAAGAAGACGAAGACGGCCACGGCAGCCGGGATGCTGTCGTCCCGGCACTCGCTGACCTCCACCACCACCTTGAACCAGTTGGGCGACTGCTCGTTGCAAAGGGCAGCCACTTTGTAGGTGCCGCTGGCGAGGAGCCTTCCCCTGGCACCGTCGAACGTGGTCAAAGAGGCCCCTGGGGAGAGGCGGCACTGGCCTTCACGCTTGACGCACTGCTGCACCCCGTCCCGCGTGGCGCAGACCTCGTCCAGGGGACACTGCAGGTCCTCGCAGACAAGTCCCTGGGACGGGTGGCAGTTGCATTTTGTGGAGCAGTTGTGGGAGATAATGGTCTCGCCCGCCTGGAAAGGAAAGGCCAAGAGGTTAGGCCACGTGGACGCCATCTCCAAATCTGGGCAGGGGGAATTTCCAACCTTCAAGGGGGGGGAAATCCAAGAGAGAGGAAGGAAAAACCCATGGGATGGGTTTGGTGGAGCTTGTGCAAAGTGGTGAAGTCCTTTTCCCCTGGTCCAGAGGAGCAAACCGTGCATTTTAGGACCTCATTAGTTGCATCAGTTTGGACGTGTGTCTTTAAAAGGAAGGGGCAACCCACCTCAGGGAAGAAGACTCCCCCAACCAGTTGGCATTGACTAAGCAGGACAACCAATCACCTCAAAGATGGAAGCCCCAACCCCATTGCATCATCACGATGGGACAACACCTCCCTCAGAGTGATTTCCCAAACCTGTTGCGTCACCTTGATGGGACAACCAACCTCACTGTAAGGTTGAGACCCCAAGGCAGTTGCGTTGACGCAATGGGACAACCCAACTCATCAAAGGTCAAGGCCACAAACCAGTTGCATCATCTAATTGGGACAACCCACCTCGTTGAAGTCCCCAAAGCAGTTGCATCACCGAGGTGGGACAAGCAACGCCATCAAAACCTGAACCCCCAAACCAGTTTCATCACCCCAATGGGACAACCCACCCCACAATCCTTCTTCAACCTGATTTCCACCAAACCCAGCAAGCCTTGATGGTCAACCTCACCTTGAAATAGCGCCCCTGGTGCGTGCAGCCACACCGCTCGAGGGATACGCAAGCTTCTCCATCAAAGAGGTACCCATCGTCACACTGGCAGCCCTCGAAGCATGTCCAGCTGCACGGGGCCGGCACAGAGAGGCTGGCGCAGGTGAAGTCACAGGTACGGGTGCAGAGCTTGTAGTGGCTGTGGGGTGGGCAGGAGAGGGCTGGGGGGCAGAAAAAAAGGGAGGAATAACCATTATTGCACCCCAAAAATCATGGCCTGGACCCCGTGGGGCATATCCATCCTCAACCAAT